CTGAAATGATCCTCCTGCCTCAGCCTCCCAGAATGCTAGGATTACAGGCGTAAGCCACCACATCTGGCCATTTTAAGGTTCTTTAGGGCCAGGGATGTTTTAATTTCCTTCGTCCCCTATAGTAGATTAGTAAACTTGTATGTTTAGCCAGAATTTCTACCTGGCACTGCCTGCATATGTTGTTAAAATTGCTAATAACTTTCTAGTATCTATATTGATGCTCCTGTGTGAATTAAAAAAATGCTTGTCTTTTTGTGACTCTGGGAATTCATATAACTAGAATAATATATTTCATCTAAAACCTCACACATTTTGAGGCATCTTCTGACATTGCTCTTTCTTTGCATGCTGAGTTGTAAAGAGATCTCTGTTTTACAGCTCTATCACCTCCAGACCAACAAATGTTTGGTGGCCCAGGGGCGGCCAAGTCAGAAGGGAAGCCTGGTAGTGCTTAAGGCCTGTGACTATGGTGACCCACATCAGGTGAGTGATGCCTCCGTGGTCAGAGCCAGTCTTTGGAAGGCGGGCTGCAGTGAAGGGAGGCTGCGGGCAGTCACTCTGGAGGATATCAGAATGTTTATTGTTCTCACTTTCCTAAGTTTTAGGTGGGGAATGACCTTAGACTACTTTTGTCTCCTTGGTATATTTTTCCTACCTCCTTTCATCATTTGTCATAGCAGCATTTCATTTGTTTAGAGCATTATTTATACTTTGCAATATTATATGGAATGTATAAGCCCTATGAATTTGATGGCAAATAATTCCAGTGTGTGTCTTCAATGATATTAAAATGGCCCTAAAAATAAGCAGATAACTTACTTCAGTTTGGCACTGTACTTTTAAACTGATTTGTATCTGATAAAATAGCATAAGCTATCTAGTAAGTTGTGTTGTTTCAAGACTACAGTGCTCACAATGCATCCTACATAATCTTCATTTCCATTTTGGTGGTGGGTTGGTGTCACTCAAGAAAAGAATGGGGAAAAAAACCCCAAAATACATGGGCATTTTGGTAAATAGTATATACTGAGAAATTCCGTAGAGCATGTTTCACTCCTAGGAGAGCTGATATACACCATCTAAGGTGACATATTGGAAAACATGGTTTAAAAAGGATTTTCGTGCCTTTTCTGGGTAGAAGAGGTGACAGTGCTGTGGACACTGAAGTATTAGAATTGCAGTGACATTTCAGTGGCATAGGTCACAGTGGCATGAGAGCTGGAATTTGTTCCAGAAAATGTAAGAAGTTTGGAGTGATGAAGTTATACTGTACACACACACATGCTGGTCTGTTTCGAGACCATATAGAATAAATCTATTTCTCTTCCACAAATATGTGAAGTAAATTTCAGTATCTAAAGTAAAACTTGGGTTTCTAATCTTGTTTTGTTTTCTCTAGATCTGGATTTATAATGAAGAGCATGAATTGGTTTTAAATAATCTCCTGTGCCTAGATATGTCAGAAACTCGCTCGTCAGACCCACCACGACTCATGAAATGCCACGGGTCAGGAGGGTCCCAGCAGTGGACCTTTGGGGTAAGGAGAGTGCTTGATGATGCTGGGGACTCACACTCCACCTTGGGGTTGGGCCCCCCCCAGCCTCAGGGGATACATTTCAAGACCCCGGTGAAATGCAGCCTAAAGCTGCAGATAATACCAAACCCTATATATACATTTTCCTATACATACACGCCTGTGGTAGTTCAATTTATAAACTAGGCACAGTAAGATATTAATAACCATAGATCAGCTATAACAATATATGTAATAAAAGTTCAATTGGGTCTTTCTTAAAATATCTTATTGTACTATGAGTAACAAACCTCAGAAAGCTAATCTTTGGGGGACTATGCCATAATTTTTAATTGTCATTCTTAATTATTCCGTATCTTTTCTGGATTTCTGTATCTTCTTAACCATATTTTGCTGGTGTGTTTTTAAAACATAACTGGTGGTATTTTTTTCTTGCTACCTTTTTTTCAGAAAAATAATCGGCTATACCAGGTGTCAGTTGGACAGTGCCTGAGAGCAGTGGATCCACTGGGTCAGAAAGGCTCTGTTGCTATGGCAATCTGTGATGGCTCCGCCTTGCAACAGTGGCATTTAGAAGGCTAAGGTGGGCACCGTGGCTGGAATGGGGGTTCGTTAGGCTTTGCTTCCTCTGTAAACCATCGTGGAGAGGATCACCAGTTCCCTGTCCTGGAGACCACAGGTGAAGAAGTGTGTTCACTAAGACATTAAGATCATTTCTGAGCTGCTAGTAAAGAATTTCTTGATTATAGCGGGAAACCAGAATATAATTTTAACTCTAAAGACTTGGGTTGTACAGAAAGACAAAACCCAAGAAATGGACATTTCTATTCAGGTTTATTTAAATTCCCTTTAATGATGGGCTGGTTGTTACCTGATCAGGAACTCATCATGATTTCCTTTCTTAGACTTCACAGAAGACAATTTTTTTTATTTCTATCATTTCTTTAATATGTTCTGAATAGATAATTTAAAAAAACTGAATCTACATTACTTTTAGCTTCAGAAGGCATCATTTATAAGGTGAAATTTAAGAGGTAGTTGACTATTATAAATTATTTTGATGAATTATGATACTATCTATATTGAAAATAAAGGATCCTCTTGATTATTTAACTGGGATCTTCTGTCTTGTGTTGAGGCCTGTGTGTGGTGCACGGGATGGGAAACACTCCTGCATTTGGCTGGTGAGCTGGGCGGCAGCCCCTGCTCCAGTGAAGTGGCACAGCTGCTCAGCTCTCAGCTACGTGAATTCAGATATTGGTAGCAAAGTTTTCTGTGAGACACCCAGGTAGAGCTATTATGGAGGTCAGAATCTCAGAGATGATAATAAATTTGGGAATCACCTGTAAATTCCAAAATATAAGGTGAACTTTCCCCCCAAAATTATATAGCAGTTTAAGTACCATATGAGCTAGATACATGGTCTATATTCTAAATATTTCTCTATCAATTTCAGATGTACATATAGAAAACAAAAAGCAAGATAGATGTCAACAATCACATTAAATGTAATGTAAATGGGTCTAAATGCCCCAGTTATAAGGCAGAGATTGGATAAAAATGCAAGACCCAAGTATATGCTGCCCGTTAAGTTGGCCAGGCACTGTGGCTCATGCCTATAGATCCCAGCACTTTGGGAGGCAGGAGGATTGCCTGAGGCCAGGAGTTTGAGACCAGCCTGGGCAACAGAGTGAGACCCTGTTGTCTCAAATAAATGTGAATGAGATAAAAATAAAAGGCTGGGAAGGTGTATGCGTGCTTACCACCGATTGAAATCTTTGTCCAATGTTAATATAGCTACTCCAGATGCCATTCAAAGCAAAGAATGTTAACTAGGGATGATAAAGAGGATCATTTCATGATGAGAAAAAAATTCAGTTCATAGGAAATAATCCTAAACAGTTCTATCCATTTTTGCAGCATGTATTTTGAAGTTCTGTTAAAACTGCAAGGAGAAGTAGACACGTCTACAATTATAGTAAGAGCTTTCAACACACCTCTCAGTAATTGATAGAACAAGCAGACAGAAAAACAGGATATAAAGCCTTGAACAATACTATCGA